CAGGTAATTGGTGCCTACCTGAAATACTTGCAGACAGGCTTTCCTTCTCCCTCCTTGTACTCCCTCAGCAGAGTCTCAGCTACTTTTAAGCCAGAAGGTGTGAGTGCCCTCTTAGCTAAACTGCCTTGCAATTCATTTTATTCAGCAAATGCAAAGCCACTGAGGAATAATTTCTTATGCAATAGTCTGGCAAGATTTAAACGCAGCTGCCAGTTTTGGAGCATAAAATACTCTTCTTTTTTTTTTTTTTTTTTTAAAACCCTCCCAATCAAGTTCATTACAAACACTGCTGGGGTCCTCTGACACCCTAGCATTTTGCACTTTTTTGCATTATTTCCAAAATTATTTAATTTGTTTTGAAATCACAGCTACATGTTTCACTGTGCTGCTGAGCTCATAGTTGGGTACTGATGCTTGTGAATATTGCAAGCACTCAGAAAGTTCTGCTTTGCTTCTCTCATAGTGCACTATTCTCACTCCTTCCTGCTGGCAGATTTGCAGATGAGGACACATTTGCAAAGATGATCCTGAATTCCCACCCTGTCAAATGTAAGAGGACTCATTTCACTCCAAATGAACCGTTTTTTCTGGGTGGCTGTAGCACCATGCTTAGATCCTCCCTGCTCAGCTGTCCACGGGCTGCAGCAGATGGAGAGTAACAGAAGGCTCTGCTTCCACAGAAGGCTGTTGTCTGGGAAAGTGTCTGTCTGCTGAAAGCACAGGTAAGCTATGCCACGCTGTGCCCATCAGCTTGTTCTGTTCACAGTCTCTCTCTCATCTTTCTGCTCTTACTTACGCACTGGATCTCTGTAACTTCTTTCTCCTAGGAGTCCAGCTAGGAAAAGACAAAAACCCTGAGTTACCACTTTACTTTCCAAGGTGAAGGATATCTGCATCAAACATCTCAACCAAATCCTCTTTGAGAGGCTTAGGCTATGGGATACCTTAAGAAACTGTGAGAGCCAAAGTTGAAGTTTGCTGATTTGCACCAGCAGAGTTTGACCCTGAGACTAAACAGTGTATGAGCTCTCTGTTTGCTAAGAATCAAACAAAACTTTCCCAAAGCACCTTCAAGAAACTAATGCAAGTTCCAGCCTCCAATACTTTGATCAGATCATCAATATTAATTCCTCCCTTTCCAACCTCCATTATCATTGGGCTGGCTTGCAACATGAGAAGGTGGCAGTTGTCTGCAGAACTTACCCATCCAGCTGCCAAGGATGGTGGAGAAGATAGTCTTCTTGCTGCTCTCCTCCATCTCTGTGAAGGAGAGGTAGTTGAAATGGCGGGTGAGGCGTGGAGTGATAGCATTCCTTCCCCCTCCAGGAGGTCCCATGGCACAGACAAAATTAATATCTACCAGCTTCTTAAAAGTACCTTGAAGAGTGCAAAATCAGGAATGAACGCTAAGTTGTAGCTAAAAACTCTCACTACAAGTCTCCATAGCAGGTATGCATATCTATCAACAGGCCAACTTTTGTGAAGAGTACTGGGCAAAGGATCTGGGTCATACCAATCTGTTTCCTGTCGTACCAGCCCTGGTGGTCCATCCACTGCCGCAGCAGCTCGATGGGTGGCTGAGCACCATATTTCTCCAGCATGGGCATGTTCAAGTCATCAATAAAAAATACGATGTACCGCCCAACTGGAGGCCCGAACACACCCTTCCGCCTGTAAGGACAGAAGCCACATAAGGACATGGGACAACTCCTATTGCAAAGATACTCCTAACTTGATCCAAAAGCATTTTTTTCTCCAGAGGCTTCCTGGATCAGCAGTTTCAGCTATCCTTACACTTACACTCCATATACTGCTTTATATGGGCCTTTACACGGAAAAGATCCAGAGCAATGTTTGAGGCATTGGCTTCTTTCCAAACACATGAGCGAAATTTTGTCTACTTATGCACAATGTCAATGAATAAATGGGTGCAAATAAAAGCAAAGCTTGAGCCCATGAATCTGTTGGAAACTTCAAACCAGTGGCTGACTGGAGAGGCAAAAGGGAAGCTGTTAACCATGGGGAGTTGGACTGGGGGTCAGCAGCCATGTTTTCTCCCCTCATCAGTTTCTATAAAGATCCCACAACCAGGGTTTGCAAACACCTGTGCTGTGAAATGTAGTATTTCTGGAATAACTAGAATTGAAGCAACTTTTACAGACCCTCACTAATCCTTCTCAGTTTCTTGCCATTGTATCAAGTTATTACTGGCTCTCACAATCCCAGCTCAGATTTGCTCTGTGTCCTATTTGTTATCCACAGCTGTACGTGCTTGGGGCCCCTTCAGGTCTTGGGCTGAAACTAAATGGCCAAACTGATAGGAACACTGAGCTCAGGGATATTGCCTTTGCAAACACAGAAAGGAAACTTGCCTCTTATCCAGTTTGCTGTCAATGAGATCCTGGGTTTGGTTAGCAGAGGTGCGTGCTGAAAACATCAGGAAGTGTGTGATGTATCTGAGAGGCAAGTTCTTCAAAAGCTTGTCCGTAATTGTGACAGTCTTCCCTGTACCAGTGGGACCAATGCAGAGAACCTAGAAGTGCAATCAGCAATGCAGCATAACCATAGGCATACAGTTTGTGTTTCCCAGCTCTCTGACATTTGCTGGGGGAAATGCAGGTTACCGCTCACTTAAGCATTCAAACACTGGAAGAGGACAGAAGGCTCGTTTCTTCAGTAAGGACAGCTGTTCAACAGATCTCTTGGTGTGGAAGGAATCCAACCAGAGAAGTATGAAATGGAACCTTAGGAAACAGGTAGAGAGGGATGGTGATGGGCTATCTAGCTATTGCTGCATTTGAAAACTGAGTGTTGATAATTCCTTTGGGGCACTGGCACGGTGCCTGGGGACTGAACGGAGGACTCTTGCTGCTTAGGCACAGCTTTTGAGCAGAGAAATACAAATCCATGAGAGTGGGAAATAATCTCAAAGTATCAGGTAGCTGTTAGGTTCTGACTGCACTGGGAGAGGAAAAGGTGCCCCTGTTGAAGAGAACAAGGTTGAATAAAAAAATCAAAGACGAGGCTGGGCACGTACTGGCTTACGGTTGGTGAGCAACAGCTCCAGCAGATGGGCCATTCGGACTGTGTTCATTGTGGGCACAATAATGTCACAGAAGTTGGTATCAGGAACCATGGTGAACTTAGCCGTAGAGTCCAACCACTTCTCCCAGCACACCTGAAAGGTATGGGTGTGTTTAGAGGGAGCAGTTGCATCTATCCCCTATGGGAATAGGAAAACAGTATTTCTGCTGTGTTTTCCCCATCACAGCTCCTTGTGTAGTAGCTCAGATTCTGACAATGAATTTAGGTTTCCAGCCCTTCTGTCTAGTCTTGCCACCTATACATTTCTGTATGGCCTGTGAGTGTCTCACTCATTTGCTTTGGGAGGGAGGTAGCCCAAGAGTTAGAGATCATTGCCCCAGCAGCAACGTACTTGCTTTCCACACTGAAAACTGGGATCAAAGGGTGATGGAACACCTGTGATATTTGCAAGAACAGGAATTCTGTCCTAAGCTGACCTATTTGTAAGTGCCCCCATGGCAGAGGGCCAAAGAGGGCTTAGCTGCGATCCTATCTTCATGTTTGGTGCTATTGCCTGCATTGTAATCAGAGGCACATGGAGGTTTTGTACTCGTACAAGACATGGACGACTTGTGCTAGAATCAAGTCACAGACTAACCGCCCAGAAGCCACTATACAAGTGAGAGGTTTTATCAGGGATGTGCTGGAGAACACTAAGTGCATTCCTGACCGCCCCATGTGACCTTCCCACACAGACGATGCTGGCAGCTTCTGCTAAGCATCTGATGCTCATGTAGGGCTCTTTACTTTGCTCTTATTTCAGGGAGAGGAAGCATTTTTCCTCTTTTTTTTTTTTTTTTCCCTAGGGGCTGGTGACTGTCAGTCAGATGGGCCTTGCATGCCCTACAGCTCTGCTGCCTCCTGTGAAAAAGGTGGCATATTTGTCTGCTTTGCTCCTCCTCCAGACTGCTGCACACAGCTCTTCTGCTGTTGTGCACTGTTTTCTAACACAGACAGACCTTTCCATCTGAGCTTCTCTCTGTCCTCCTCCAGCAGCCACACTTGTAGAGCCCTCTCACTTTCCTGAGCACTGGCAGAGGCACTCAGGTCTGAATTGGCCAGTCCTCGGCTCGGATTTGAAAGATCTGCTTCACAAACCTGAGGGCAAGAAACTGCCTTCTTCCTTTAATGAAAAGCTTCATTTCACTTTAAACATTCTCACTTGGTTCCTATAGGCCTTTCTTATTCACCCTTGATGAGAAAATCCTACCAAATCTGACAGGACTGTGTTGCTTCCTGGTCCCTCCCTCCAAATTTCCCAGCTTGGAGTTAAAAGTGAAATATTTTACCTCCCTAATGACCTCCTCATCCAGATCATCTTCAGCACTGCTAAGTCCAGCATCATACAGTTTATAGTCATAAACCAGCCCTTCTTCTGGGAAAAGTAACTGGATCTGTGGGAATAAAGCTGGGGTGAACCTGGCTGCCACTCAACTGAATTCAGAGGAAGATCTGCACTACTGCAAGGAAGACTACTAACAGGATGCTGCCTGGGCCAGGGGGGACAGGTCTCTCTCCCAGATCTTCCAGCTCCAGGGATCCCTTGAAGTTTGAGGCAGATCTGGTATAGCAGATACCAAGAGGAAGCACATCCAAAGCCTCCAGGCATTCAAGAATCTCTGACCCCCATTCCTCATTACCAGTTCCTCTATAATGAGAGAGGATCTGCTTTTCCTTTACACATACACACCTTTTCCTTTGCCATCTTCTCCCTCAGCCACAAGCTGAAGGCCATGCGACCTTGGGAATCTCCAGTAGCACCCACACTCCAGATCAAGGCAAATATAAACCAGGGTTCAATCAGCTCTCCAATACGAGCTGCCTTCTCCTGGGGAATCATCCTAATTCCCTGAGAACCAGAGAAGAGCAGAAGTAAAATTCTCAGGCATGGTTAAGGTACACAAAAAACAGACTCCTGTTAATGTGCTCGTAATTCTATTCAGCTTCTATGTAGCTTTTTCTAGCCAGTTTTTCACAGGCCTTGTTAATGTATTCTGTGGATTAAAACTCGCTGATTCATTGGTGTACTTGAGAGACTCCCCTTGCTGAACTGATGTCACTCAACAGGAGCTGGGAAAAGAAGTTAGTCTTTGGTTTTTAATTTGAAAATTGTCCAGCCTTCTTCAATCCTAGTTCTCAAAGGACCTGCAATCTGAAGTGCATCGTTGTTTAGCTCTGATCTCTGCTTTCCAGTAATTCTCCAATTCCTGCTACTATAAATAAAAGTGAATCTCTTCCCTCCAGCCTAGTAGGCATGGAGTTTATCTTTTGCTCTTTCAGTGGGCAAAGCATAATCCTTCCAGGTTTACCTGTGCATTTCGGGATGTTGTATTGCCTTCTGCCGCATAGATGAGCTACAGAGTGACCCTTCTGCACCAACACTTTGTTCTCTGGTGACTAACCCCCTGCAACTTAGTGCCCTTAAGAGTTACAGGTGCACACAAGCGATAGTGGCAAAATCCTACCTCAATGGGAATGAAAGGCTGAAACAAACATTCCAAGAGCATGAGGAGGCTCCTTGTGAGGTTACTGTCCGTTGAGGCAATTATCTCCTTCACAAACCTCCTGACAAAACCAATGGCCTCCTGTAAGGAGAGTCAGGAACAGCTCAGTGTCACCATCCAACACACGTGACTTTGCTTTTACCTTCTAGGGTTCTGGTTTCACTTTGCCTCCCTGCAGGCTATATTTGGCTGAGAATGCTGCCATGTACCACTGTTTTGACTGGAGAAAAGTAAGTCAAACTGCTTGGTTCAGTCTTAGTCACAAGAAACCTCTGGGCCTGCCTTTTGGTTCTGTGCAACAGTGACGTGCATCTTCTGCCATCACTGCTGTTAAATGGTTTGCTCCCTTCAGACCTTTCCTTTGCAGCTCTGGGTTATTCATTAAAATAGTGGCTCAGGAGAAGAGCAGAAATAACAAGACTTGTTCTTACAACTTTCTCCCTGGAGTAACTACACTGTAAACAATGGAGCTGCACTAGGGATGACTCTGTCCAGAAGATAATTTTAAAAGGAAATAAAACAAACTATCATGACCATTAAGACTAAGTCACATCTGTAGGGATCAGTGAATAACCTCTATTAAACCCAGGAAATTCACAGATTAGTTTGTGTACTGTTAGTCTGAAGTGTTCCCACAATGACATTTAAATCCAGGTCTTGACAAGTCTGGGCTGGTTGATATCTAAGCTGACAAGCTCAAAATGATGGAAGGGCTGAAACGGCATGGTAGCTCACCTTGAGGAATCTCCTGAAGAGAGAAGCTAGCTGCTGTGAGAAGGGCTGCATGATGCCTGGGATTTTTTGCAGCCAGCACTCAATGAAGGGCTCCAGCCCCAAGATGCTGGGTTCCAGGTAAACCATGCCACAGCGGGAGACTGTGGCAGGGGAAGCAACAGCCAGATCCTGGACTTCAAACATCATGGTCATGCTCTGGAAATTGCAAAAGGTGAGAAAGGAAGATAAGGATTTGATCACTTCTGATATGTCTTTCAGCATAATTTGGTGAAGCTGAAATCTTTCCCTTTGTTGCAGAAGCCCTCTTTTTGTTGTGTTTGTGCATCACAGCAGAGGTCTGGCCAACAAAGGGTTGCTACTGAGACACCAATTTCCATATAAGTCATCACAGACATCAAGTGGAAAGTAAAATGCAAGTCTGTTCCAAGAGGGAGGAAGGAAAACAGAGAACAGGCAGCAAAAGCAGGAGGGATGAGTTACCTCTGTCAGCTTGATAATTTCCCCTGAGCTGAGACACAGCTTCTTATTGTCATCCAGCACCGTGTTCATGTTCTCAATCCATAAAGCATCAACTGGCCCATCAAACATGTACCACTTCTTGCTGGTGTTGGTGGCCGCAGCTCCCTGCCGGATGAGTGAGGAAAGGATCCCATCTGTCCTGAAAGGAGGGAGGAAGGCAGGGCTTGGCCCATTCCAGTTTTGCTGAAATCAATGGCAAAGCTTCCACCATATAAGGCAACAGAGCCAGAATCTTACACTGGTTCATGTGCCCAAGGATACCTGTGCCTCACTTGTTGATGAGCTGCATCAAGGTCCATCTCATTCTTTCTTTTACTGAGACATACATCTCAGCCTGAGTGGCACCATGAGACAATTTCTTTGGCCACTAGGATCTGGACTTCATGTCATCTAACTATAAAATGCCAAGTTTCCCTTTAACATCTCTGTCCTCAGTGAAAAGCAAAGAGGCTTTGCCAGCATCCAGTTCAGGTCATAGGTGGGTTACCTGCTCTCTGGAGGTGCCTCTTTTTCTCCACAAAGTGTAAAGGGAGACTCAGGACAGTTACTCTGCTAATTCAGGTGCTTCAGTTGGGTAACTGTAGGTTAGGAGGATCAATTCAGGCTAAAGAGCATGACTCTACCCTCTTTATAAGTTCCCCATCCTCAGCTGCCTGTGAACCCAGCTGGTGCTGGAGCTGGTGAACAGGAGAGCAAACACACAAGGAATGCTGGCTGTTGACAGCAAGAGCTTAATCTGTACACGGAAACTTGGAGTGGAATTTCTGTTCAGGCCCTGGACTCTACTCCCATTATGAAATAATTACTTGTTATTTTTATAGTGCTAGTGAATTCCAGGGTATTGTTACTGAGATCAAGGGAAAACAGTCTGTTCTAAAGCTCAGCTGATTAAAACAGATTGATTTTTCTGTAAATACATTTTACATGGCTGCTGTATTTTTCTTTTTGTCATGTTGACGCGCCTGTCTGCTGCCCTTGGGTAGAGTCACATCATAAATAAACTGTCGAGCTTAACTGGAATATCCTATAAAATGTCCTTCAGTAAAGACGCATCAGAGCCCAGGTTGGGAAGCTCTGGGTCTCAGCATCAGTAATGCTTACTCGCTTGCTTACTTTTCCTAGAGGCGGTTAGTTTCATATTTATTTATTTTCCCTAGTTTTACAGAACACAGTCTTTAGCTTTGCCCCTAAGCAAGTGGTGGGTGACAGGGCCAAAGGGAAATTCACACTGCTTCTCACACCTTACTTCTGGATAAAGTGAGCTGCAAAGTCAACCTCAGGTCACATATGGAAACATAAGCAGTAGGACCTGCCTGTCAAGAGGGCAAAAGGGCTATTGGTTCTCACTTCCAAACCATGTGAGCAAGCAGGAGCCCTGGTAACAGGAATAAAATGCCCCTTTATGCCTGAAAGTCATCCCTCATCATTCAAGGCCACCAGTGTATTTATACAGAACAAGTCAAGTGCGCAGCACAGAGGTCACTTTTCTTCAGAAGCAAAGCAAGTGTTTTTAAGCTGCTGTATCTTAGAGCAGGGGGTATGTGCTCCAAAGCAATTGAATTATTCCTTGTTACGCAGTTAATGCTGCCAGCTGAGCTGCAGTAACTGTCTGGGCATGTGCTGGCAGCCGGGCCAAGCACACAATAAAAGACGTCAGCTTAAATCGCCGTGACTGGCTATTGTAGCTTGGTGAGGATAAGGACTTGATTGCTTCTGGTTTTATGCCACTACCCTAAATAGTTCTCATCCTCGAAGAGAAGACGCTCAAGACCAGAAGAAAAACGTTTCCCATCTGGAAGGAAGGAAAGCAGGTTTTGTACTTTACCACTCATGCGTTAGCAAGTTGAACTCTCCATAAAGCTGGCCCATTGTGATGGATTTGGGATTCAGTACAAAGTAGCTGACTGCTTCGTAATTCCCACCACTGGCTGCAGGCTGACCTTTCAGTGACGTCACTGCAGCTGCCAGGACTTCATAACTCTGCAAAAGCAGGAGGGCAAGAGAGTTAACTGCCATGGCTCCATAACAACAAAGCCACTTGCTCTCACAGCAACTGCATTCAAAAGGCAGTGAGAAAGGAGATGTAGTGAAGGATAATATCATAGTAAGGAAATGCCTGGCTGTATTTGCAGAAATAAAGCATTTCAGATGCAGGGGGGGAGTCAGATCTCCCGTGCAAGAGGCCTGAAGCATCTCGAGATGTCAAAGTATGTCTCAGCCTTAGAAATTTGCATCAGAGCTAATAAACTTCAGTCTAATCTCCCAACTCAGAAGAGTGAGATACTAATATACTTCCCCATGGCTACAAATCAATAATAAAAGGCATCTTGGTACCCTGACTTCTATCTGAGAGAAGCTGGAAATGCTGGAGTATGAGCCTTCTGTGAAGCTTAATCCTCTGCATCACTAGATAGGCGATGGTTTGCTGGGGCCAGCACAGTGTCTCAACCATACCTTTGTCTTCCCAGAGCCTGCTGGCCCCACTAGCATAAGGCCATGACGAACCACAGTGGTTTCATAGAGCTGGATGCACTTAGTCACAAAACCTGTAGAGAAAGACAATGTGGAGTGGGTCTGGGACCAGCTGTCTCTTTCCTAGGGCAGAGCACTGGACTAAAAGCCCAGGCTCAGAGGGAGCTTGTGGAGAGCCTTTCCCCTCACCATCAACATCCTTCAGATTCTCTTTGATGCAGGATTTGCGAATGGCTTCTTCCAGAATGCCATAATCAACAGGCTTTTCTCTGATCTTGGGAAATAAATCTGAGACAATACCATTGAAGAGCTTGAGGTCATCCTGCAGGAATTTGGGTATGTTGGCATCCCTGATAGCCCGCAGGCAGATCAGCTCCTGCAAGGATTTAAGAACTCAGAACTTCAAAGATCCTGCCTCTCTTATGTGGCTGCAGAAAAGGCAGGATCTTGTCACTCTATGACTGTGAAGTGTAAGCACATTTACCTCATTCATAGTAGGATTCTCTCTTTTGAGGTTGCCAGCTGTTGAGATGACAGTCTTCACAGCTCTCATCCCAAAGTCATAGTGGTCCTAGAAAAGGCACAGAGGAAACAATGTCATCAGGTACAGGAGCATCACCTACAGAGAACCTGTGCATGCACTCAGCAGGTAAGAAAAGAAAAATGAGAGTTACGCCTTCAGAACAACTGCTCCTTCATCCAAGTCTGCTCTCAGGATTCTTCAAACAGCTAACTAGTCCTCACCTGTGTAGACTACGGGTGAGAAAGACGAGAATAACTGGATGATGAAAAATTCTAGATGAAGGGAGAAGTAGGCAGAGCTGCTTGGCTCGGCTGTCCTGCCATTGTAATCCTAAGTAGGACTGAAGGTGAATGCAAATCCAGCCACAGGAGGAGAAACAAGCATTATAAAGGAGGGAGGTAGATGAAGAATGGGTATTGTGACCTTTTTGTGACATGCTATCATAAGGCACCACAAGAACCATCCAGGTACTTTGTGCCTAGGCTGAGTAAGCCTCACATTTAAAAAAAAATCATGGACATGAAGGCATCTACCTGGGTGCTGAGCTGCTCTGACAATAGTTTGAATGTTGTGGTGATCTTCTTTGCAAGGACTTTGGCTTCATTAAACCCAAAGGAGTAGAGTGAGATCTCAGCAATCATGGAGTAATCTGGGACCATCATAGCCACAGGGCGAAACAGAGCCTGAAACGTATAGTTCCAACACAAAATCAAAACGCTGTTGTTTCTTGCTTTTTCCAGCAAACTGAAAAGGCAGAGTGTCTATCCCAGACTGTTTAGAGGACACAGCATGAGTGTGTCTGGCACCTGTTGGGGCAGCATCCCTGCAGACTGCAATCTGAGGACAGCCATTTGCTTACAGATGTGATTCAAATCTCAAAATGATCCTAGAAACTTGCCAAAAGCATCACATCCTAATCCTTGTCATGGACACGCTGGTGGTCTGGGTAGCATCCAGCACCTTTATTGCCCCTCTTCTTTCTGTCTATGCAGTCTGCCCTCCTTACCTTCAGGTTATCGGGCAGTTCAGTGCGCCCAGCATACCCTGGGTTCATTGTGATAAAGACTGCACAGGATGGGACCAATGGGATCTCTGTGCCTTCAAACATGAAGCGATCCACCTAGAAAATTAAAAATATGGTCATCCTCAAAGAACAGAGCCCAACCTGCGAATTAAATAATGTAGCAAAATCTTCCAAGAGGAAAACAATGGTTTTCAGTAGTTAAATTATCAAGCACAGACACACACAGCTGCCCACAACTGTAGTGACTCAATCTGGTCCCACTGCAGGAATCCACTATTACCAGCAATATTTTTCCCTGTTTAAGAAACTGGGCTCATGGAAGATTTACTGATAGGATACAATTTTTTTTTTTTTTCTCTTGAATAGACTTCTATCCCTCCAGCTGTAAATAAACATCTTTCCATTTATTCTGCAGTAGAGCTTGGACCTGAATTAATTCGTGGCAGAGAGGGCAAAGAGAAACCTAAATCCTTTTTAAAGCTGTGTAGGTAGTAATTTCAGATGGGGGATAAAGTAATGCAGAAGAATTAATGGAGAGCAAGTTTCTAATTCCAAGCCAAAGTCAAGGAGATTCAGGTCTTAACCCTGCTGAGTCTCCAGAGAACAAAGCAGAGTCTGGCTGCTAGGCTGGCTGACAGCTGAGTCTCCACATAAAGCCAACAATTCACTTTACATTGCAACTCTGTGTCTGCATGAGTATGCATTTTTCTGCACATACTGGGTTTTGTGAATCCACTAAAGCTTGGATAACACATCTAGACAAACGTGGTGCTGACCAACTCATGGCAGAACACTGGCTGCCTTTATCACAGCTCCAATTTGTATCAGCTCAGTGGATCTGTATCAGAGTGTCTCCCACACTAAAGTCTGCTGGCACTGCAGCTCAAACTGAGATGTACTTCAGCCTGTGAGAGTGTGGGCAACTGTGGCAGCGCAGACTAGGGTGAAGTTACAAAACCCACCCAGGATGCTGACTATGTAATGGCCTGATATGATGTGCCACAGCTAGGGCATTACTCATGCCTCTCCAAGCTCAAGTATGTCTGCCTGAGTTGCCCCTGAGCAGCGAAGCTGGTCCTCTGTGAAGATGCATGCAAAGACAAGGACTTGCCTAGACTAGCTCAAGTGCAGATTTCTTCGTCTGCCTTTGCATCTGTATGTTCATTACATACCCTCTGCTGCTGTGCTTTCTGAATGGTTGTGATCTGCTGGGCCACCACAGACAGCACCTCGATATCAATGCGGTTGAACTCATCAAAGCAAGCCCATGCGCCAGAGCTCGACAAGGAAGGAAAAATTAGGGGATTCATGAATATCACACAGGAGAAAAATTGCAGTCAAAAGTTCAGCTAGATCTAGAAATTATAAATCCACATACTGGGGAGGCAGCACAGAGACAAGAAGTGAACCTAAAAGGCCCCTAACATCCCACGGCAGGTAGTGACACAGCCACAGTATACTGGTACAGTGGAAGGGGCTGTAGCCCCTCACCCTGACTATGCATCCCAGGCAATGTGATGAGTGAGAAGGTGCATAGTACGTGCAAGACCATGGCAATGTCTGATCCTACAGCCTGGGACAAATTCTGTATGTTACAGATTTGGGCTTGAAAGAGGTGTCACATTGAATTCCTGTTTTGTACCTGAGTTATAAGTGTAGCAGATACAATTTAGACATTTCTTAAGTCCATTTTTCAGAGCTTGGAAGACCATGTATAAAGCTGGAAGCATGTATACAAGGAAGATGATCTTCCCACAAGGCATGATTTAAGGAAGTTAAATTACTTACAAAGAAAAAAAAAACATCTGAGAAAAGAGTATCAGCTTTTGTTGGAATAACTAATTCAGATTCACCAGTGTGCAACAGACTAATTGGACCAGCTCTGTTTGAAATGTAGAGAAGAGAGAATCTTCTCTGAGAGGATCCCTCAGGGCTTAGAGCAGTCTCTCTTGGCTGCTCAATTTTGGATACACTCAGCAGATTCTCTCCTTCTTAAGATTAAGCAGCTTGTGGGCTGAATCTCAGTCCAACGTGTATGATATTAAAACAAAGGCCAGAGCTGGAAACATTTGCACAGGTGTCTAATAGTGGATTGGTGCAAAGCATTTTAATTTTGCCTTAAATGAACAGGATCTCTTTTTATCCATTATTTTTTTTTTTTATTTGGCTCAACTATCCCTCCCTTCTGGCAGGAATTTTGTAACTTTGCTCATTCTGGAACATAGTAACCCTCTTACTAAGGCTTTGCTTGTTCTTCTGGGCTGCTATGAAAAATACCCACCAATGCCCAGTGGCTGGCATCCCTGTATCCTACCCACTCCTTGATAATGACATGCAGCATTTCATTGTACCTGGCTAGTCCCTTGAAAAACTTTCCCATTGCCATAAAGTCAAGTTGGTCGGAGCAGTTGAACACTACAGTTTGGATCGCTAGTGCTTTCCCCAGGTCTTTTGTTGTTTCTGTTTTGCCTGTTCCTGCTGGTCCTGCAGGTGCTCCTCCAAATTTCAGGTGCAGAGCTCCTGTAAGCGTCAGGTAACACCTACAACAAAGAAGAGACCAGATGATGAAAAGCATTTCTACTACTGATTTCAGTAAGGGAGACATATGATCTACCCAGCTGGAGACAGGTAGGAATCCATGCTTTATTGTTCTGCAGAACTGCTTAGATATGCAGCACTCTGCAAAGGAGTTAGCTATGTGGCCTTGATTAGTATTCATGGGGCCTGCATGGATAAATCCTTCTGCCACTGGCTACAAATTCACTCTCCAGAAAAAGGACAGTTACAAAAGGGTAAAACTATTATTGCTGCTGCATATGCTAGAGTATTAGATGCCCCTATCTACTGGTTTGTAGAAGAGTTCCTTAGCTATCAGGTGGGCATTTTATATGAGTCAGAACACTACATTAAGAATTAGGAGAGTAAAAGTAATCACTCTGAGCACTGATCACTAGGAATACAGTAGAACCAATGCCAGGGTGTTCCTATGCCCTTGTCTCAGGTAGTCCTTTATTCTACAAATGGTTTCTATTTACATACATTACGTAGTAAGATCAGCATGGTCAGATCCTTGGTTTAATCCCCAATGAGGCTTGTTCATCCAGAAAAAAAAAAACCCCACACTTATTACCCAGAAAACAATCTCCTTACCTGTCAGTGAGGGGCGTGATAACCAGACGGCCACTGTTGCCCAGATATTCATAGCCATAGATAAATTCAGCATTCACAGCTCTAATGTATAAGTCCTGCCTTGTCCAGTAGTATCTAATGATGAGTGAACATGACATCAGAAAGATAAACACTGGCTGGCAGACAATACAGCAGCTCATAAGACTGCAGCCTGCAGGTTTGGAGACCTGCATGTCATGGGACTTCCCTCGTGAGAGAAGAAAGAATAAGATAACACAACAGGGTGGACAGGAGTTCTCACAGCACCTGAAATTAGGTGTTATATCAAGCATCGCACTCCTTCTTGGGCAGGAGCATGCCCTTTCACAGTGAGGCTGTGAAATACCATGGTATGGCTTAGTCTGTATTGCCAAAGTGGATGCTGTCAAAATAAGGTCGGTCTCAGATGCCTTAGAACTGGCATCTTTAGCAGACTTCAATCCCACTCCTCATAGGGATGTTAGAGGCAACTAAGGAATACTGCTTACAGACTATGCAAACGCTTGTTTCCATTTGTCATGGCCATGGCTGATGGGTAAGAAGAATGGAGACTGGCCAGGGAGGCCAGGTGAAGTTCAACAGCTGCGGTCTCTACCTGAGCTGGGAGATCCACTCGAAATCATTCATGCTTGTCACACGCTCCTCAATCAGCTTTGCTGCAACATCCTTGGCGTGGACCTCAACCACAATAAGAGCTGACAACACTGCTCGCTGCATCTTAGTCAATTTTCCACGGACCAGGGCAACCAAATCGCCCAGCTGGGTAAGGAAAAGAAAGTACTCTGAAGCAATCTATATCCCAAAGACCCAGGCTGTACTAACACAATGCAGTCAAACTTATGGCATGCTAAGTCCAGATCACAGGCTGTGTCCAGGCAACTTCTGCCTCACCTCTTGTCAGAGATACAAATGACTGCTCAGAAAGCAAATACTGCTCAGAGCTGGCTCAGAGCTGACTTATGCCTATGCCATTACCATGTTCAGGTGAAAAGAAAGAGTTAGAGCCACCATGAGGCCCAGAGCTGAGGACACCATATCTCCCAGGTATTAGGCATGATTAGATGCATGGAACAGATGTGAAGGATGCAGTTTTGCTTTGATTTCTACTGTCCATCACTTCAGTTCTCCCCCACCTCTAACTTCTTGAGTGACCCTGGGAAGTTATCTTCTGTCTTCAGGTAATGATCATATTATTTTTTCTGTACATTATTTGAGATTTATGATGACAAATATCCTAATGATCAAGATGACAAGAACCTGGTTTTCTACCTGTTTCTGAGCTGTGCTATGCAGGACTGTGTCTCTGTTTCTCCTACAGTATTGCCCTGGCTATATTTATAAGTTATCTAAGGTCTGATGATTGAAAAGTCTCCATCTGGCAAAATGTCACCCTTACATTCATTTTCACACCTGAGTACTCAGCTGCGGGAAAAGTCTGCTGGACAAATCTCCAGCTTCCAGAGCTTCAGACACTTCCTTTGTCCAGAAAATCTGGCAGCCAGCAATGACCACTTGGCCAGGCCACTGCAAGACCCATGTAGTACGTGGAGTCTTAAAAAAGAAGAAAAAAAAAAAGGTGGTAAGACAATGTTTTGGGTTTTTTTTTAATTTTACATCTTCCTGCTCTGAGGTGAATCTGTGAGACCCAGAAGAGTGTTTCCCCTCCTCTGGCCTGTTCTAACTTTCCTAGTTTCAAATTTTCAAACTGAGTAGAAAACAGCAACAGAAATATCTGAGGCCTTTTCTTTTTTCAGCCTTTCTCCCTCCCTAGACCCAAACAAATAAAAATTCAGATTTTCTACCAGCATAGCTTTTACACAGAAACCTGAGCCAAGATGCATCCTCTGATGCATTGACTGAAACCAATAGTTTACAGTGCCTTGGTTGCCTTTACCAGTATACTGTGTGAGACATGAGAGCTGAAGAAGACAAAAGAGGGTAGATCCTCATAAAGAGGAAGCTGCCTGGATGGAGGAACAGAAATGGATTTACACAGGGTTGTTCTATGTTATTGGGAAGTGTTCTGTGGCTGTTAAGTGAGTGTGCAGGGTTTGCATTCTTCTGGACCATTAGCTACTTGCTCAACCGCGCATTCTGCACTTGACCCACACACAGTTGGATTAAATGCTGTGTTGTAAAACTAGTAGAATACCACAAATTCATCAGCCCCATCACCGGTGACCTCTATGGCAAGCCTGGAATCAAGACATTAGAGACCTGCCAGTCTGTGATAAGACTCTTACCACTGGATAAACACCGATTGATCTTTCTATGTTGTCCCGTATACTGGCTTTCATGGATTTCTCAACTTCCAGCAGCCAGTCCTCCACATTGTCAGTGGGATAGATGGGAACAAACAGCTTCACCTCTTCTCCTTCAGCAGAGTACATGTGTGTGATCTGTAGGTCCTCCTGGAACAGCAGCTAATGGAAGAAGTGCAACAGGACATGTGAATGGAGGATTTCCTTTCTATCCTTGCCTTCCTGCCACTGGGGGAGAGGCAGAATGCAGTGGTCTACGCTCATTATAAATCTGGTGCCAAACTTGGCTGTCAATAGTGATAATAAAGTGTGCAACAGACGTGTAAAATGACGTCTCCAAAAGATGGAGGATGACTGTAGGAAAACCAGAGATTCACATCTCTGGTTTAACTTGAGTGAAGCAAATAGGTAGGATGAACATTTCTCATTGCCTGTCTAGGATTCAAACCCTTGATTCCTGTTCAATTCAGTAGATTCAAATAATTTCCCTCGAGGTCAGAGTGCCTGGTTTTAAGAGTAAAATTTTAACAGCTTCTCCAGTGCCCCCCCCCAGCATATCACTGAAAGTCCCCTTATTTATTCCAATGGCTTTGCTCCAGGTTTCTAGTTCAATTTCCTTTCTATTTTCCCAAGCTAATGACTAGGAGATTGGTTTAAGTGTCTGAGTATTGTGGTGGTGCAAGCTGTGACTAGCCATGGAGTCTGAAGTCTATTAGGAATAATAAAGAGGAAAAAAGCTAGGTTAACCCCAGCTCCTAAGTAGAATGAAGGCAGAAACTTAATTCAGTTCAGGCTTGTTCACTCCTTGTCACTCCTGAGGCTGTCAGCAAGAGTGGGATTCCATCCTAACCAGGTGCCTGCGAGTAGACAGCTAAGTCTGAGCTATTTCTCTTGGCCTCCACGGTGGGATGGACAGACATCTCCAGACGGAGTATCCTGTCCTCCTAAGATGGGTATCTAAGTGAATTTCTGTAAGTTGCCCTTTGCAGATGCCTATTTTCCTCTCATTGTCTAAAAAGCAATTGAGGGTGCCCAGTTCATAGGCAGGCATCTGGCTTTGAAATGTCTAAAGTGAGGTTGCTTGAATCCCACTCCAGGGCAGGCAGCACCTTGCAATGCCTAGGTACAGTTACAGGTTCCCAGGAGATACAATTCCACACAGCAGAATGTGAACACTCCTCCAGATCTCAGCATGCCTCCAAGTTCCCATGACACCAGCTTCCCAAAGGTGGGCCAAGACACTAGGGTGCTTGCTTTGCCTACCTGTGCAATGTTCTCAAAGCATTTGCGGAGATGAGGTTGTACAGCAGTGGGGTCTTTTGTCTGAGACAGTATTTCCAGCAGCTCATCGTCTGAAAGGAAGTAGAACCTAGAAACACAGCAAGGCATGAGGCAAGGCTCTCTTTACTGTAGCATCAAGGGCTAAGTCCTGGCAAGATGAGGAACAAGCTAGAGACACCGTTTCTGACTGCTCACTGATCTCTTTGTATTTGTGCAGGAGAGTAGCAGCCACAGTCCAGCTACCTTTTCTACCCTTCCATAGAGAAAGACTTCTCCATCTGCAGAAGTCAGTTATTGCCATGCAACGTGGGTTTAAACTAGAATAGAAGTATTCCTTCAGAATAAGGGACGGAGTTACATGGAGGTTTTCATTTTACCCCATTCTTTCTAGACAAATCATGAGGCACAGATACGCAACAATGCTACCAGACTGCCCTTAATTCACAGCATTTGTGTTTGCCTGTTTTCTCCCCATCAGATGGCAGCATTGAAAGGCACAGCCTGGCTTATGTTTGCAGTCTCATGACAGTATCGTAAGCTTAGACTGTTTTGCTCTTTCTTGGCAGAGTGAACTGGAGTGAGCCTCTCCTTTCATATTTTTTGTCTGAACCAGGGAGTGTGATCCAGCCCACTGAAATTTGGGGTTACCTGGGAAAAGCACCTCTCTTTGTCTCCAGATATTCACTCAGCCCTTTCTGCACAAGTTCGAGTAGTTTGTTACATTTTCGCAGGTTCTCTAGTAGCGTAGGATCAGGGCACAAAGACATCACCTATAAACAGAATGGAGAACAGAGGAAGCATCAGTATTCTGAGCATGTGGGAGATAAGGCAGTGGAGATAATTGGGTTGCCCAGTGATGTTACTGATAGGATTTAAATGACTCATTCACAGGAGTACTTTCACAGCAATCTGGAGAGGTGTGAGCTTTGTGGGCAAAGAGGGGAAACAGTGCTTATGGATGTGACAAGCACATTTCTGGGTTCCCCTAAATATGAACATTTGTAATATGAGATACAAGTGGTGATGGAGTCCTGGGACATGGAGACTGGAGAACAGAAGAGTGCAGAGCACTGCTACCAGGACACAGAAACAGGTGAAAACAATGGCTCTAAACAATTTAAAGAGTCAGTCTTGAGGCAGAATTGAAGGAGTTATCTTATGGATTAGGATTATAGCAGGGCTGGTTACAAGAGTCGTAGGAGGTAGGGAGTCTGTGTGCTGAGGAGAAGGTATCTGGTGGGGTGGACAGCTTGGTGCAAGTCATCACAGGGAATGACTCTGTCCATTTGGACACCAGAACGAAAGGCCAAGTTCCAAGCAAAGAAACCTAGCACGTCGCCCTGGGCAAGGTTGCATGTTTATACAGCTCTGCTCATGCCCACATCATTACAAAAATGACTCAAAGGCAGTCCTTGTGTGAGCACAGCTCCAAGAAGGTTGGGATACCTGCACTGGCTTTCATCAAGGCACACACCTCAGGGTTTTCGTTAGCATTTTTCATGATGTTCCTCCAGTCCCTATCCATGGCCTGGTAGCGCTGGCTTTCCAATGGGAGCTGTCTTTTGATGTCCTCTGACCTAAAGATGGGCTCCAAGTAGAGCCAAGAGCGCTGGCAGTTCAGCCATTCCTCTAGGACATCCTAATGGGAAGCAAGAAGAGCATATCAGGACACCGTGCTATGAACCTATTTGATAAAACCATTCAAACTGTGCACCAGAATGGGTTTAAAGAAAAAAAAAAAAAGAAAAAATAAAAAGAAAAGAAGAAAAAGAAAAAAAGAGGTGATACTGCACTTAGACCTTCCACAATTCTAAAATCTACCTGCAGCATCAGGAGCTGGAATTTCCTTCCCAAATAATTAACAATTTCGTAGCAATCCCCTTTGCTAACTGTTGTCAGCAGGCATCAGAATCAACACCTACTAGTTTAATAGGGGTAGTTTAGAAATATGTGTAAGCCAACACTAAAGCTCAAAGGGACTTTGTGGTGCTAGGTCAAATTTCTGTGGCTAGTGTTTCTGTATTTTACAGAAGATAGCACAATGTCAGCACAGTAAGATGGGGATTTCATTTTGTGAAAAGAGCTTTTTGGGGCAAGAAGAATGACAAATAAAATACGCCAGACCCTGCAGTTCTGTCATATTCTCTCTTCTGCCTGATGTACCTCAACCCCAGCCTTGCCTACAGAATAATCCATGAAAAGATCTTCAAATAACACTCTGAATTAAGAGAATGAATGAAAAGCTAAACATTTAAGCTAGACACCAGAGAGAAAACCCCGTTTGTCAGGCATTCAAAGGAGAAAGAGATTTAGGTTAGAAGAACATCCTCCTCCTCCATTTTCAGGCATGGGACATTGGAAGGTATGGGGAACCTGCCCAACATTGCAAAGCAGCTCAAGTGTTTGACTCCCTTTCAGACTGCCTTAGTCACATGGTGCTATCTACCGTTCCCTGAGCACAGGCAGTCACTTGACCTAGCAAGAGGTGGGGTTTTCCAGTAACACAGACAGCGGTGTTTGCCATACTCCATCAGCTAACCCTGGTAAGCCACTTCCCAGAAGCAGATTCATGGGCCTTTAGTGACAGGAATGAATAAAATCAAAAGAAGGTGTAAGGAAAGGCAAGGTGAAAACATGGACAATATCACAGCCAAAATCACACAGTAAATAATTGAATTTCCCCACATCACCTACTGCCTTAGGGCTTAGAGTAGCATTTCTGTATCCTCACAAGACAAGGCTAGCACTCTGGCAGTCCATGGCCCAAGCGCACCAGGTGGTAAGCACCAATAAACAGAATAAGGTAGTTATGAATAACAGATAACAATGCTGCTGTGCATCAATCACCAGCATTTGCACAGAATTCTCCAGCCAGATACTTGTATTTGAATTTTTCTCCTGCAGTAAAATGCTGTTCTGCTGGCTGAGTCCTGCTGGGTGCTGAGCATTCAGGCTCTGGTCTGATGAAGAAGTGCTGGCACAGTCTGCCAGATCCTGCTCTAAACAGCAGTCTTCCACATACTTTCCTACACTGAGATGTTAATGATTAGCATGGATTTCACAGGGCCTGTTAAGAATCTGTAAGGTGCACTTAGTATAATATGATTAGAGATGCCAGTGGGACTATTCACAGCAACAGGAGAGTCCTGGCCCCTCCAGAAAGTGTTGCAATAGGCAGGCAGCAAAAGAGCTGGAATTTCATCACTGCTGTTTGCAGAAGGAGGCTCTGAGTTTAGCCCCCCTTTTTATAGTCAGAGGGCTTTCGACAGGCCCTGTTCCTCCCTAAAGACTGATATTCTTTTGATAGTTGTACTCCCAGTTCCCTAGCAGCAACTGCATAGTGTCCATGTTCAAGCATGGCAGCACAGCCCAGCTGCCTGCCTTCACCACACATGTGTGGGTAAGAAACCAATACCTGTGTCATCTTCAGCTTATTTTCCCAGGCGTTCATCCTTTCTTCAAAAGGTTTCTTGAATGGTGAAAAGGACATGCTCTGAATCATGACAATGTGATCATCTAGGAGCTGAGAAGCTTCATCAGTGTTTTTCAGAATAAAGGTATCTGTGTCTTTGTAAAGCATCACAGTAAATAAAATAGAGTCCCATTCACTCTCCATCTTGTTGAGTGCCTGGAACAGAGGGACAAGCAATTTAATTTTCAGATACAACCTGTACAATGGTTATCGCAGCTTCCACAACTCTCTTAATACCCCTCTCTAGCAAGTGACAGATTTTTGCTCTTGGATTCCACTGGAAACAGCAGCTGTGTATTTAATGCATGACACACTCGGCAACAGCACGTTTCCTCTGCATTGCCCATAGACTCAACCCCTCAACGCTGTCCTGAAAGAACACCTTGAGGTGAAAAAAAGGGCAATTTCATCTTCAGGCCCATTTATGCTACTAGATGCACAGAGGCTGCCAGCAAAGTGCCTACTAATGATTACAGTTAATGAAGGCTTTGTGAAAGGGGTAGCTATCCATTGGGAACTCACCTGAGATTTCAGAGAACAAAGGCTGCCAGAAGGTAATGACTTTCAATCAAGACCATCTCAGGTCACATGCGAAAGCTGAAAGACTATCTAACCTAGGAATCTCCAGAGCCAGCAAGTCTTCCCTGCATGTTTACTGTGTTAAAGGCTTTGCCACCGTTTCCAGCCACAGCTAATCTCCCTGACATAACGTTTGAATGGCAGAATGCAGACAATCAGTTTATTTGAACTTAAACAGTCACTAATCCCACAGTGAGGTGTGAGACCCAACCAGTGGATCAGCATAACCATAAGGCAGCACTGTTATGCTACAACTGAAATTCTATGCAAGGCGAAATGACTTCTAGTGTGTGAACTCAGTTGTGTGGCCGTTGCTCCCCTCTCTAAAGGCAGCAGCCTTTTTACTCGTGCTGCAGAATGTATCTAATGCTCTGGGACAACAGGAACATCACCCAAGGCAATGACTACCTGCTCAACAGAAACGTATTTGAGAAGCAACCAAAGACACAGCAAATCCCTCTCTCCTCACATTCTCAATGGCGTATTCCTTGCCAGCTATCTCAGCTACTTTGGTAATGCTCTCGATACGGTCCAGCAGGTTCATGTCCAAGCAGCGACCAACTGTCAGATTGGGTTCTAGCTTGATATCGATGTTAATATCTTTTGACAGCATCTCCCAGTGCCGGTTTCTCATACCAGGATTGCGCAGCCCTTGAATTAAGGGGATGTATAGTCTGAATTCTTCAATCTTGTCTCGAAACTCCATTGCCAGACCCTGGCAGGCTTTCAGGGAGAAAAACAGAAGAACATCAGCAACTACAGTGTGTGAGAAGTTGCCTTAAGGAACTTCCTAGAACCTGTCTAAAGCCTGATGTACTTGTAGACACATAGTATGGGGTAGGTAAGCAGCAGGACAGAGCACTGGAAAATGCAGGTTGAAGTAATGAGGACACAAAGGCTCTCTCTACGTGGCTACTAAGCAAGGATTCAAGCCCAATCCCAGAAGCAGACCTGCCTATGAGCCAAAAGTCTGTTATAGGCAAGTCCATGCTAAGCAGAGCTCACCAGAAGATGAGAAGCAGAGAAATTTAATTTCTTAATATGGGTCCAAGCATGATGAAGCCCCATCTGCCAACAGATATTCTAGAAGCTCTGGTCATTGTTCCAAGATCTTTGCTTCCTCAACAAGATTGGGTTGCGAGTTATCTCACACCCCAGCTCAGGCCATCCTAAATCGAAGATGGACACTACATATAGGAGGTAGAAGTAGGCTAGGATCACAGCTAGCTATGGAAATAGAAAGCATGCAGGAAAGGTCCTTCCAGCATGCCAGCCTATGGCCACACTAGAGCCAAAGGTACTTCTGCCGCATAGGAAGGACAAAGTCAAGGAATGGCTTTTGCTTTCTGGGGGCATCCTGGAAGCCCACGTCTCTGTTCACATCCTGCCCTTTTTCAGCTTATGCTATTGCGAGTAAAGCAATGGGCACACAAAGAACATGGGACTTGCTTCCTTTCCAAAATCTGGCTACGGCACGTGTCTCCTTTTATTGCACCCTGTATGGTTGCACTGCACACTCACAGCAAGGATGTGACCACTTCACACTCCCTGCTGTGGTATGCAAAGACAAGGCAGACTCAAGGACGAAGCATATATTTTACCAGGTGCCAGGGAATATTGCAGTGAATATGAGCAGGTATTCTTAGTACTTCTGTTTACCATAATGATTCATAGTTATTCACGCATCCACTCATCACCTCCTCCATTGGGGCTGATTCATGGCATTGTTTAAGAGCGAGTTCAAGTTAAAAAGGATGAATCAAAAATCTCCCACTGCAAAATATATTTCAATCTAAGCCATCTGGCAGGATATTTTAGAATTCACTCTAAAGAATGACCAACACATGTCTGAGAATCATGGAATGGGAAGTTAACCTACAACTGAAGTCTTAATTCCAGCTTCACTAGGAGCCATGATTAAAAGACCTTCATGTGAATTGCAAGGGCTGGATGCGATCATCTAAACTTCATACACAGTCAGGCAGGAAGGAAAACGGTTATTACATTCTACAGATCATTTCCAGACTTTGCAATTTCATTTTATTCATTAAAAAAAAAATCAAGATCTCTTCTGGCTTTCCATTAAATTCATTGGCCAATAGAGAAAATAAGATTGGCCAAGAAAACAGCACCTGGAAGACCCAGATTCAAGTTCCTTTGCTGCCTGACTTGCATAAAGGCTTAAACCCACGTGTCTAGCCACTGGGCTATATAGTAACTCTCTATGACTAGTCTGGATTATATTACTTTATATAAATGAGTAAATATTAACTGCAGCATAAGAGGGTGGCTTTTATTTCAGTACTGTCTTGGGAATTAGGTATAAAAGGGATTTGCAGCCTGGTTGTTTCCATGCCAAGCTGGTACTTCAAGCAGCAAACTAGCATCTAAATGTGAATCATCATAGTTCCAGAAAAAAAGTGGAAAATAACTTTGCTAGCATTTTCTCAGCTGGCTCTAATACACACAAGACATCCATATGACATCCTGACAATCCCTGTTCAGAGCTCTGTGGCATTCCTCACATCAAAATGCTGATATGCACCAACTTCCTTTCCCCAGACTGCTTATGTACCTGGTGAATCCTTGAACTGCTTCACGCATCTCTGCATTGTCTTAAAAGAGTCACTGACATTCTTTTCTAGCTGCTCAGCCTCAATTTCCATGAGAGGATCATTCATCCAACTCTCATACCACTGCATCCAGTCTGACACTGTAGTCCAGAGATCATAGTATGGCTGGAAGTCCTTAACCATCCTGGATAGTTTACTGTACTTGGGAAAGAGAAAAAGCAAGCATAAGCAACAAGTGTATTCCCCTCTGGATGACAGCTTGCATGTCAAAAGGCCAAAAAAGGCACAATTCTTTTTTGAATCTCAAGCAAGCAATGAGAAAATGTGTACTTCAAGAGGATGTATCAGACTACCTTCTCCTGGGACCACAATATAGATTCCAAGGGAGAGCAACTAGCAGAGTTGGGCTTTACGCATTCAGGCCCAAATGCATCTGGTGGAGCTGTGCCTGCACCATGTGTCTTGCATGGAAAGCACTCCCTCCACTTGCCTCTACAAATGCTCTGCTGCAGAATGAGATTTTGATTGGCAGTCCACACACAACACTGCACATCGTATCGAAACTTGGCTTCTTACAGTGAAGGAGAAGTAACCATAGACTGAGAGGTAGAAAAAGATCACTTCTACTCTGCAGCCAGACTAGGCTGGATGTGGATGACAATGATTCATTAGCAGCTGAACAGCTACAGGCAAAATGAGTGTTTGCAACTATATAAACTGTTGCCTTAGGAGAACATGCTACGCTCTGAGCCCACCCAGCTGCCTGCACACCACTGTCCAACCACACTCATTCACATATATGTAACTGCAGTAACAGCCTTACAGAAATTGATGCATCTTAACTGCTGCTTCAAGACCTTCCCCATCCAATTCCTCCTCATTAACATCACTCAGATCTGAGTGTGGGCACCCAAAGTCTCTCACTGAAGTGGCAATACCAGGCCCATGAACAGCCTTCCACATTCACCTGGGATCAGCTCTTCTGCAGCACTGTGGAGTGATAGAGCAGTGTGGTCACTCTACAGGACCATGGAGCAGTTCATCAGATAAACCAAAAGGGCATGAAGGATTCCTTCCTGAGGAACTGTGTCTCATTATTTTCTCTACCTACCACCTAGAAGGCCCAACAAAGATTAGGGTCTTGTAGATACAGGACCTGACACTTACATTAGTAACTTTCATTCCAAAGATTCTTTCCCTGTTGTTGTAGATAATTGCCAAATTCTGAAGCTCCTTCAGCTGCTTCCTGACTTCCCTTGCTTTGTTAACCAACTCATGAACTTGGTTAACGTCTGCCTGGATGGAAAATCCACCTACAGTCAGCTGGAAGAAAAAAGGCAGGTATGAGGTGTGGCTCTGAAGCCGAGTGCTGCCTCTGGAGATCTCAGCTTCCTGGTGTGCTCTTTGTTACATTCAATGGCAAGATTCTTATGCTCACAATTTCACCTCCCCTAATCCAATTCCACTTCTGTTTAGACCACACTGAAAGTGGTGAGGAGAAGCAATAACCCCTGGTCAGGTGGTTGAAAATGCAAATGTGATGACCAGCTGCTTTTCACCCTTGTGACAATAGTTAGCGATAGGACAAGAGGAAATGGGCTCAAGCTGCGCCAGGGGAGGTTTAGGTTGGATATTAGGAAAAATTTCTTTACGGAAAGGGTGGTCAGGCATTGGAACAGGCTGCCCAGAGACGTGGTGGAGTCACCATCCCTGGAAGCATTCAAAAAACAGATAGATGTGGCACTTCGGGACATGGTTTAGTCTAGTCTACCCTTGATTGGTTTAGTGTGGACTTGGTAGTGTAGGTTAATGGTTGGACTGAATGATCTTAAAGGTCTTTTCCAACCTAAGCGATTCTACGATTCTATGATTCAATAGTTAATCCCTGAGGAGTAGGTGCAATGAGTCTGTGCCCAAATTTCTTGCTACTGAATTTATACTGTCATTAGTTACGGAATCAGTGAAGTGAAAATGATACCTCTACTAGGCCATTCAGTTTGTTTCCAAGGATTGTTTAACCACACATGTCCACAGCTTCTTTAATAACTTTTCTGTTTTCTTTTGGTGGTTTGGGTTGGTTGGTTTGTTTGTTTTTGAGGGGTGGTGGTGGGTTTTTTTTGTTGGTTTTTTTTTTTTTTTTAAATCCAGTGTTATGGTATTATCATTTTGGGAGGCTATTTCCAAGATAATCTAGGTCACTGATTACAGCCTTTCCAATATGGCATTTTTGTTCTGTATTTAGGAATTTCTGGTGAAAAATAAAATTCAAACTGTTTCAGCAGAAACCAGAGGCATCTGAGCTCCAAAACTCTACTGTTGTTTCAGGGTCTTTCACATGAGATGAGTTCCATGACTTAATGCTGTATTTTTTCTCCCTTGATGGCTGTCCATCATGGGAGATGCTCTGCAGGGAACTGAGTACACAAGAAAGAAAAAGGAGGTGCATGTGTGGCCCGAGCACCAAGAATTGGAATATTGTATCTCAATGAACACTTCCCCAGTGAAAATTCAGTATTTCTGCAAAGAGTATTTGTCTTTCACACAAAAATGAAACTCTTAATCAAAAGCCCAACCTACAGTAAAAAAACCAGGGGTGGGGTTGGTAATTTTAGGTCCAACAATACATTGACCTAAAAACTCATCTGACTAAAATGTCATCTGAAAGTTTCCCACCTGGCTGACCACAAGACAAGGTCCCTTCTCTGGACAGTTTATTGTCAGGGGCTTAATACCTGCATCTCTTCCAGTTTGTCTTGAAAGCTGTTCTGATCTATGACCTGGATTTTGCGAAATTTGTCTTCATCCTCCAGGTGCTGGAGCCGAATGGACTCAGCTTGCATAGCTATTTTCAGCGGCCAGTAACTTGCAGCCCACCTGCACTCACATGATATAACAAAACAAACAACAAAAAAAAAAGGCGGAGAGAGTGAAGCTTTTTGAGCATATGTTTGAAATGCTGAAAATAACAGAATGAGAAAGCCAACTCCCACCAAACAAGGAAGCTTTACAACAACAGAAACACATGTGGTTTCAACAAAACATTTTTTCCAGCTTGTCTTGTTGATATGCAGTCCTTGTGACTAGGCTATTCAACTGGAGAGGGCTGGGGAGAAGTGGAGGGCCTTTTTAAAAGGAACAAATCCAGTATGCTTCTGAAAAGCTAGGAGACAGCAAAATAACAGTTGGCATCCAGAGGGAATGTCTGTCTTTGAATGTATTCACAAGGAACTGAAAAAAATGGGGTCAGAGTCTTGGCTTGTGGCTTTTCAGGGCTACTGAAAAAGCCGGTCTCCTGTTAAGCAAGGCAGTGAGGGGCCAGGGTAACCCAGATACAGTGAAGCCCTGGATAGCAAGGCTTCTGCAGAGTGCCCTGGGGAGTGCAATGCAGATACAGGGAAGGCTGCACAAAGTGGCTGCTTGTGCCAAGGCAGGTTTCTTGGTTCTTGCTCAGCCGTAGCCCACCCATTACTCCATTTGGACTTGTTAGCCTGTGTGCAATGCCAGATGTAAGCTTTGCAGCATTATGCTCGAGGTCACACCCCTCCCAGCACCTGGGGATGCAGCAATCGCCTACTAGTTCTGCATGTGCCAGGTCTGGTCAGTGGGCATACAGCTATATCTGTGCTAAGCTGTCCAAGAGCTGAGCTGCTTTCCTGCAGCTTCTGTGGGGTTTTTGCACTGTGCATCCCATGTTTCTAATTTCAGGAGCACTCTGCAGAGACTCCCTCAGGCTGTAGACACATTGGACAAAGTCCATGTCATATGAGAGGTGCTTCCAGGGCTGAGATGACTTTAGAAGCTGTGTAGCTGTGTTTGTGAGCTGACTCTGCTACTGGGACATAGTCAGGCCCCAATATGAATAACATAGCCAAGGATAAAACTAAGAGGAGACTGCACACAAAAGAAATGCAGTAATAATACAGGGTTCGTGTTCCTTCCTAGTCCTAAGAAAACCCTGGGAGTGTTCCTACCTTGAAAGTGTTCATTCAGTTTCAGAAGGAGACTAAACTGTGCACTTTGAGACCTTGCAAATGGCTCCAAAAAACCAAGGGAAAAGAGCTTTAATACGTTAAACAGGTTAATAGCTACCAGTTTGCCTTGCCCCAGGCCAAAAGGCAGCATGAACCTAAGTGTCTTCTCTATAAACTTCATTTCAAGAATTCAGTGCTCATATAGCCTGAGAGGCACTTAAAAGTTCTGCAGAAGCCCTTGATAGACACATAGGCCCTGAAGTACTGAGAAAGGTAATTGCTGCAAAGTGTCCCACTTTGACAGTGGGAGAAATGCCTGGTGCTCACTTGTCATTGAAATCTTCTTCAGTAAGATTGTAAAGGAATTCCTCCATGACCTTGTAATCTTCCATGACTTCACGTATCAGTTCCTGCACAGGGTGAGAGAAAGAGACAAAAAATAGACACCTTTAGATCATACTGATTCCAACTCTCTGGTGTATACCTCATTTTCATGAGGTGCCTTTGAAGTGCGTTAGTCACGCAAGCTTAATGTGATGTAGGCTGCTTCTCTGCTGTGTGAACACTGGGAATGGATTTACAACCCCTTGTTCTGTGAATGATCATGCCATCATCACCCTCTGTTCTATATGAATGAAGTGTGACCTAGTGGATAAACTGCTGGACAGAAATTGAGCGTTTTGGGTTATCCTCCAGGTTCCTTCCTTGGCATGGACAAGTCAGCTCACAGCTTGATGCATTTGTTCCCCACTTGTTCAGCTGGGAGAAGACCTAACTTTGAAATAACTCGGCACTAGAATGTCCTATTAGAAGAAATACGTTAACAGCAATATGAGCATTTGGTAGCAGAAATAGTTTCTTGAACAACATTCATTTTCAGAAGACAGGTATTCAGTACACAAATGCAGAAGGATCATGAAGGTAGCAAAAAGCACACGTAAGTCCTTTAGGCAAGATTTTTAACTGCTATTTTGTTTTGTGTAGATATTTAAATTAATTATATGTGTATTTAAAAATATAAATCTTAGGAATTACAAAAATACAAAACCAAGAATCTTATGGCATTGCATGCAAAGACATCCAAACAAAAAAATTGGACTTCCGCTTCAAGACACCACACATTGCATTGACTAATATCCTCCTCCTTTCATCTGGTGTCCCCTGTCCATAAGGAGAGCATGCCCTACCTCCTGCACAGCCAGCTGCTCGGGGACTCCCTTCATCCACTCCCGCAGCTCAGCCAGCTCCTCGATGCTGTTTGGTTTCTCATGCATTTTGCAGCTCAGGGCTTTATATGCATCGCAGATCTTCAGGAGGACACAGCAGAGAAAAGACCATCAAATAGTCATTAATTGCTAATGGGCAAACTGGAAAACCTGCCATGATCCACCCACTTCCCATTCTGAAGGTGGTCTAAAGTGATGAGTACACAGTCCTGTTCTGTCTTTTTCTTTACACAGTCTTTCTCCATCCATCTCATTTGAGCTCAAATGGAATGAGACTGCCAAAAAAGAGGAAGAGGAACTGCAGGTATGTAGTTGAAATGACGACAATAACAGATTTAGACAACCCTTTGGCAGATGCAATTGTCTATATTCCAGTTATCCTCAGAGCAAGCAGAAGGACCTTCCAAATGTCTACTAGACAGATCTTTTCAATCCACCAACATATTTTTACAAGATGGCACGGTATTGAAGATTTTTGTCTCAAGAGAGGCAGCTTTCAGGCACGTAATTTATTAAGTATATTTAATACTTGATTTGGTTGAGTCTGCATATCTCCCCTCTAGTCATTCTTTTAAATAATCACTCTGATGCAATCTTTAAAATGTCCTTATTAATATGGCCTCTGTTGCTGTCTTTTGGCCATTTCACAAACACAGAGACTTCAAAAGCAGAAGGACAAGTGAAGACACTGACAGATAATCTATTGAACCAGGTAACTTACATTCTCCACCTGCAAATGGAGATTTTTAGCCAGTATGTCCAACATGGAAGTGGCAAGCACTTTGTATTTTTTGGACAGATTTTGCTTAACATCTTCTGTGCTGACATGGAAGGGACCAATGACAATAGAACTAGGTAGAGTGCTGTCCAGGTTCTCCTTTTCAGACAAGTGCATGTTTACTATACTCATCACTTCCTGGGCAGATGGACATTGCTCTTCGTAGTCTCTGTAAATAAAAACACATATCAAAAAAAGGTAATGTAGACCTTAAGATTATCTGAGCATCCAGGCTGTTCGTAGGATGTCCAGACGTGTCTGCCCAAAGGATCAAGATGTTAAATTAATAATGAGATGTTTGTTTGTATTAAAACATGCATCTATTTGAATGTATACAACTTTCTGCAATCACAGACTGAGAGGGTACCAATGCCTTCTAGACCTTACAACCAAAGATACGCCTACATAGGAAGTGAGGAATGATTGTATCACAGTCAAGTACATGAGTGTCAGCTTTAACTAAGCAGGGGAAGCTATGGTAGCAAAGACATCCCATGTAAAGTCCATCTATTTGGGTGACCAGCCTGCACTGAAGGCTCTGCTTCAGTGTCTTCACTGCTACAGTTACCAACACCAAGCAGAGGAAGCCAGGCTGCCTATGCCTACCTGCACTGCAGCTACACCCACACAGTGGTGTAGACAGGCTCCCAGTTTCAGAAGACGTGTACACAGGAAGACATGGAACTGTTATGTAGCTGAGGAACATTACTGGGGAGCAAGGGAAGGGACAGACTCAAATCTGCAACAGGTTTTAGAGCACAACAGAAGTGGAGTAGAGTAAGAGCACAAAATACTTTTGCTGCAGAAAAAGAGTGGAAGAAAGACATGGAAGAGGTAATAAGGCAAGAAGAGAGGGAGAGACAAAATGAAAGCACTGGTGTAAACAGGGCAAGATCAGGAGGCACCTTGGGGGATGGCAGGCACTTCAGTGTGTTCTGGGAAGAGACATGAATTTGTCAGACAGGATTTGTAAATTGATTAAGCTGGAATAATGAAAGAGAAAAAGGGCTTCATTCCCACTGTTTGGAGAAAACATGAGGCCTAAAAAGAAGACCATTAAAGTAACAGAGGCTAAAGGACAGGATAGGTGCAAAGAGTTTTGGCAATGAAAACAATGAGGCTGAAACAAAAGAAAACATTATTTTCTACGGAATGTTATCAGCCCGAACAGATGCTATTTGAAGGAGGTCAGAGTCAAGTACGTTAACTGGATTTTCAAACAGGATGAGTCATTTTGGGGGCCATTAATATCTCCAATTACACTTACAAACATGACAGGAATGTGACTGCTGTCAGAGGTAGGAAGAAATTCTCACTGCCACCACCAATGTCCTCTAAAAGCATGGACCACTGCCCATGGCTGAAGGCTGCTTCTGATTGATGCCTGATCTCAGATCTGAGGCACTTCACGCACATTTGTGGTCTCAGAACAGGTCCCGCATTCTCACGCACATCCGCATGACAGCTTCTGAAAAGGCTTGCTGTTTGGGTTAGAGGTGCCTCTGTCAGAAGCCACTTACCTTAGGAAGTACTGGATGTCATTGTTATTTAGCTCTAAGAACTTCTCATATCTCTTGGCGTAGGCTTGGAGAGGGATCAGTGCCTTTTGAATGGCAGACCGCATAGCCTCACGTAGTTCTTCCACTTCTGGTTCGTGCAAGCCCACTGAGTCCAGCAAGGGTGTGCCTGTGATTAGCATGTTCTCCAACACATACTGGAAGAGAAAGGAGAGAGGTCTTTCAGGACTAGCAGAGCTAACCATGCCTCCTCAGAAGACAGGTGAGACAATCACTAGTGTCACCTCTGGGAAGTTATGCAGTCCATCCTTCTACATTGTGTCAGGAATTGTTTTATCAGTTTTACGTTGCCACCCCCAAAGAAGGAGGATCTGGGGAGATAGGTCTTTCACAGTAACAGGCAGAAGGATGCATATGCAAGAGATCTGCACCAGACTGACAGCACTGGAAAAGGTGCTATTTCCTTTATGTGTCTGCTTTTACCAGCTGCCATGCACTTAGGGCAACCAGGCTACTTAGGGCATGCCTCCACAGAACCTGCAGCACCAAAGCAGAGAGAACAACCACATAAAATAGCTACAGGTTTGGGGAGCTTGAAGAAATCCTGTCAGCATAGAACCGCATTAGTACAGTGCTATGCTCAAATTAAGTAAACCAGATTCCCAACTACCTACTTCTGCAACTCTCTCCCTCAGTACAAGCTCAGGGGTGTCTATACCAAGCTGCAATGCACTGAGAAGACTTGCAGAGCTATATCACTGTTGATGCAGAAAAGTTCACCTTCTCCAGCTGTGGGACAGTGTGAGTCACCAGGATTCCCTTGTCAAATAGAGAAATGAGGGACTTCTCAAAGCTCTCCACAGGGGGGCTGAAGTGAACACCACTGCTGTCTAGCACAAGGTCTGTTACAAAGAGTGGATTCCTTTGAGGCCTGCAGTGGGAAGAGGTAAGGAAGAACAAGGATGCTTTTTGAGACAATGGTCCACAACTACATTGCTCTGGTGCTAATACTAAAATGCCTACTGGACAGGAAAGGAAAGCAGAGGAGAGGAGGACTGTCTTATGCAGATGAAGGCATGAAACACTGTGTTCTTAATTTACCAGTAAAGACATTGAGAACTCTTGTCTATCAAAGGTGAAGCAAGTGTCAATCATGACATACCAGGATCCCCAAAAGTCATAACCTTATGCTGAGAATTGGAGCTGCTTTACAGAAAAATTGCAGACACCCTTCAAACCAGACATTCATTACCTCCAATATACTCTCAAAATGTACCTTCCAGAAGTTATATTTGGTATCTTCCAATCTTGTATGTTACCAGCATGGCTCAGGATCGGCTGAAGTCAGTGTCAAGACTTCCACTGATTTCAAGGTAAAAGGCCTATGTGAGTGGCAAGGTTTTATTCCTTTTCTTCCTGTTTTCAATTTCTAAACCTTCCTTTTTTAATACCATGAAGGACAGAAATCATTAAATCAATACCCAATGGAAGACAATTCTAGGCACTGTGATAGCCTGAATTTGGTATTCTTTAGAGATCCCAGGCCAGATCCTACTCCTGAGGTTTAATCCAAGAATGGAATTAAGTAGCCATGCCTCCTCGTATTCTTCTTCCTGGCCTCCAGAAAAAAGCTAGTAATAATTATTTGCTCCCCTGAGAATGCTGGAAGTGGCTAATCTTTAGAACAGTATGTCAAAGTAGCAGACCTTGGTTCTGATGGGCTGCCTCATATCACTAGCAGCAACTTGAAATCTGTAGTAATAGAGCAGCCAGCTCTGTGTCGTTCTTCCAGACTCAAGCAAATGTGTCAGGTGGAGGACTGGGTGGAAGAGCCCAGCCTAAAGCCCCCATACAGTGCAAAGCTTGCTTGCAAAAACAGTAGTTAGAAAGACAACAGCACTACACTTTTCTGCTCTTTACACCCCTTTTTTTCCTCTCTCTTCCTTACCTGTAGGGACTATTGATGAGGTCATCTCCCCATTCCATGTCCTCTGAGCAATTCAGGATACCATGGCAAGCATCCAGCAAAAGCTGGGTGAAGCTGATCAGTGAGTTCTGGACCAGATAGCGCACAGAGTCCTGAAGGATTAATTTGATGCGCTTCATCAGCTTATGTAGTTTGGTCATCTGGTAGACATCCCAGTGGCTCTGTTCCAGGTTGTACCAGTCTTTGCCTGCATCTTTCAGGTTGCTCTTTACTGCAGTCTTTAGAGTACTGATCCAAGTATCCTTGAGAAACACCTGAACCTAGGGCAGAGAAACAAAGCAAGCTGTGTAATCCTCCAAGGGCTGATGGGAAAGCAGTATGGTGAGGTTAGCTGCTAGCTGGGACTGCTGGACCTTTCTCTGCTGTGAAAGGTAACTGTTGTCTCAGAGCTGTGGCAGCTAAACAGTAGCTCTCAAATTCATGCACATACGCGTGGCATCTGAGCCTGGCCACACATCTCCTTCACTGACAAAAGACCTACAAAAAGAAAGCCTGATACTAAAAAGCAGGAGTGCTCTACTCTTTCTTTTTATATACAGTATTTCCTTTTTGTTCTCCTTTCTATAGAGCAGTATCTCTGGAGCTGCCTGTGTCAGGGTCCCTCATAAAAAGTTGTGTAGACAGTATGATGAGCCAGTAAAGGACAAAATGTTGTCTTCTCTTGACAAGCGAGGAGAAAGAGGGGAAGAAGCCAAGGGCAGTAGCAGCCTGCAGTGTTTTAATTTATTAAAATACCACCAAGTGTCACTTTTGCTCCACAGGCAGCTGCCATTTGTGTGTAATAAAACAACCTCAGTCACTGAGTGGATGACAGCACTGCCTAGCTGAAACAGCATGGGACTGGGAAGGACCAGCACATGCCCTCTGCCACTGATTTACTGTGTAACCCTGCACAAGGTACTCCATGTGACCGCATCCAGCATGCAATGTACCACCCTCATTTAGAGGGCATGAATATCTTCTGGCAAGAGTTACCAGAGTTGCAAATTTTTGTCCTAGTCTGTCTACTGGCATCGCAAGCAGAACAATCTAATTAAGTACATAAAGAACAGAGTGTAGAAAAGCATTACCCCCATGAGTGCTTCAAGAGGACTCAAAGCTCTTGTGCCTTGCAGCTGGAGGGATGGAGAAATAAACCAAAAAAAAACCTGGAAACTTTTGAATGCAAACCAGGACTGTTATCTGTCTGGAGACCAGGAGGAGGAAAGAGGAAGAAAGACCATGCCTAAGACCATGGTCAGCAGTGGCTGATGCTAAGGTGGCTATGGCTCTTCCAGCCCATTCTCCCCACATCCCAATAAATTTGACATGCACATGCAAATTCCTCTCTGCCCTACCCACAGTTCTCCTTTGAAAGCTCACTCATCTGTTTCCAGGGAATCGATCTGCAGCTGCTGCATCTGTCTACTACACACTGACAGCCCTGCTGGCTGCTCCATGTATTCACCCCCATGCTTCCTCTGCTCACCTGAGTGAAGGTCTGGGTCTGGATCTGTTCAAACTCCTCCAAGCAGACATGCTTGGCTAAGGTTGAGTTAAACAGAGACATGGTGGCTGCCTTGTTGCACTCATCTTGCACCTGTGTAAGGAGAAGGATGACTTGTGGCCTGGTCAGGAATGAAACAAAGTTGAAATCTGCTCGTCGTTCATCAAAAGGATAGTCTGGGATCCAGATGAGCCCTGGAACCGAAAAAAAGAACATGTTATTGCCTGCAACGGCCATCCCAGCTTCTGTTTTAGAGGAAGAGTACAGGTCCCTTTGGGACAGCGCTTGTGAAAAGGAGTCTCCTCTGATGCATAGGCCTTATTACGTAGCAGTTTCAGCAGATGGCTGGATGAAAAGAGAGTCTCTGCTCTGCAGCAGAGACTTTCTGCAGCCCCCCATTAGGGGCTGAGGGACTCTCTTGGTGCCTGACCTTCCTGAGGCTTTGGCTCATAAAGTTTCCATGAGAAAGAATATTGGACTTGAAGAATCTTCCCACTGAGGCTTCAAGGCACAGCTGAGTCATCTCATCTGTGAGAGGCCACTTGTGAACCACCTCAAGGCATTCCAATCTTTGGAAGATCGAAATGCACACAATACGCCCCCCCATCACATGAAAATGTGGTCTTTTTCCTCCAGTTCAGGACTCTAAAAGAACCTCAGTCCTCTTCCACACCTGAGGTATGCCACAGCTAAGCACAGCAAATGGAAGGCGGCCAGCCCCAGCACAGTGCAGAGCAGAAGGCAGTTAAGCTAATTACACTGCCTTGCATTTGGTGCCATTAAGAGTACACTTGCAGAGTTACTGCAGCTTAGCTGAAAGATGGTAATGTGTTATACTGAGGTAACATGAAGATGCAAATATACCCTAAAAAAGAGCAGACATACTCAAAAGTCTCATATAATCTCCTGCTGCTGTCCCTTATGAGCCCTAATCATTAACATGAACCTGAGAGTTTCTACAACAAAGCTTAAATCCTATCAAAGACAAGAGGTCCTATAACCATGCTGAGTTCAAACTGCTTCACTGTGTCCTGTACCTTTCTCTGGTGCTTTCTTCTCCTCTTTGTCTGGCAGGGTGACATAAAAAAATATCTGAGGTTTGGAAGTGACGACTCTGTCAAAGCTGATCCTATTCATGGTGCGTTCATAGTCTAATCTCACTTCTTTCTCCAGGCAGCACATATGGTCTAACACCCTGTTACAAGACATGGAAACAATGATAACCCATGGTGTTTGAGCAGAAGTATGTCTGTAGCTTTACTGCAAAACTCACCCTTCACTCACTCCCTCTTGGATTTGCCAACCCAGAAGTTCACCTACTACTGAACGCATGAGGAGAGCTGTGCAGACAATGAAGCAGCCAGCAAAGCTATCAACTGGACATTTAATGACAGAAGCAAGTGGGGACCTGGGACTAGTACTGCAGCCTTCTCAAGTGTCTTTTTGGATCAAAGCAAAATCTCCACTGGGAGTGTGCAGGGGGGAGAAGCATTACAGCGTGGAGGCAAAAAAACCTAAGAACTGAGGAAGCTAGCTGGCAGTTTTGGAAAACTTGGGCTATCCGAGCTGTACTCCCAACTGCCTCCTGCCAAACACCTCTTGAAATCAATCTCCTCAGCCAAAACATGTGTATAAGTGCTGAAACCCTGCTCTGTTTACCCTAGAAAATCATCATCTTTCACCTCAAGCAGGCTTTTCTTTATACCTATATTTCTGCTCACAGAGACTAATTACTCTCCTACTCTCTAGTTTAGGCTGGCAGACCATGCAGCCCTTCACACCTTCCTGTCTCTGAGCAGAGCAATCAGTCATGGCTGATTCCCAGCAACACCACCAACAGCTCATGATTCATCAGCCCAGGGACTCTTAAAACGCCTTCCTGATATGAACTGCATCTCAGACACTCTTATATCCAGGTGGAGATCTGTTCTGTTTGCTTCACACTGTGCAGGTCTTCTGATTTTAGCAGCTGCTAAGAAGTAGAAGAGTCACCAGCAGACAACAGCCAACTCTCTGGAGACAGCTGGTGGTCTGCAAATCAATTTGGCAATGACTGATCTGTTCCCTGCAAGCACAGGGAGACGGCATGGTGAACCATGCCATTTCTGTCTAACCTTCCTGCTGTTGAAGGCCACTTAACTGCAGGTATAAGCATGGCTCAGTGGATCTGCATATGAAGTACATCTACTTCATCTCGAACACTGACAGATCACCCATCCTATACGTATGTCCCTGGGGCTCTTGTCCTGCCTACTTCTGATGACACTGGGCAAGAGGGTGGTGTGCATGTGCACAGGCTGAAAGGCAGTTGAGATCCACGGTCTACGAGTTGGATGCTCAAGGTCTGCCTCCATTGCCAGTTGTTTTGTAGCCCTATGAGGTCCTACAATGTTAATGGACTGAAGGCTGAGACCCCACACATGAACTTGATGCTTTACCTCTTCTCTTGCTTCAGTTTGGGAGTATGCATAGCCAACAGCTTCATTCTCTGCAGGCTCTTCTCGCTGATGCTATTTAGTCCATCTGTGGGCATGCAGTCCACATACAGGTGATACAGTAGCAGCGCCTGCGTCTTCTTACGCAAGCTGTTGGCAGAAACTACCCGCTGTGCAAACACCTGGGGATCTTCAGCCAGAAACAGTAGGCAAACTCGTGGCACCCAGTACTGACATGACAACGATAGGGCTCTTCCTGGGAAATTAAAGTAAAGCTCATAAAAGTCTACAGGGAAAACAAAACTCAGAAGTGCTTGCAATGCTGACAGCAGCTTTTTGATGGACTATGTAATTGGGCTGGCTTACTGGAGACCAAAATGGGGGACCAAAGCTGAGGACAGCAAGGGACAAGGAGCATGGACTTAGCAGCACCTCCAAACCTTTCAAAAGGGAGGTACTTCATCTTAATCTGTTTGCATTCCCCTTCAAAATGGTGTTGGCCCAGAAAGACCATCATTTAACTTTTCTTGAAGGCAGGAAAGATGGGAGACAGTATCTCCAAAGGGAAGGCCTCAAATAGGTTGTCAAATTAAGGTGTGGAGTTCTCTCCCCGGAGGTTTTTCAGAACAGGTGAAAAAGACGTGTGTCAAGAGTGATAACAGGGAGAGGAATTAAATTACTTTTTCATGTCCTTCCCATCTCTACCTATGACCAGCATGGGTAATGGACTGGCTCTCAGTCTATATGCCAGGTCCCAAAAGACCTTATTTGAAACACACCTTGTGGAGTTATTCCTCCACTGAGGATGGGTCTCCCTTCTTCATCCCGCACCAGCCCATTCTTGTCTGTTTTATGGACCAAGTAGAGCTCTGTCTCCTTGTCATAATCCAGAACACCAACATCAATCCACTTGTAGATTAACTTCTGGCTTTTGGGGTCCTCTGAGAGAAACAAGGATTAAAACAGGGTTAGTCCATTCTCCCGGAGGTTACAGCAAATGGACTTTCCTGATCAGAGGGGTGACGCCACAGTCAAATCCATTTACTAGCTTGAATCTTGGTCAATCTTACATAATTTCTGCTGTGATCAACTAAATAATGAACTCGGGTCTTACAGCTTAGCATTTCCAACTGTTTACACACACCAAAGCCCTCCATTTTCTTCCTCTTACTTCCATAGGTTCCCTGTGCACCATGCTCCTACCTCCTGCTTCAGGCACTACCACTCTTTGCAGCCATAGTCTCATATTTGGGTCCTGTATGCCCCTACATCCTCTCTTTCAGCCCATACCTGGGGACCCCTCTGCCTCCCAATTCCTTCACCCCTTGATCCAGGACTTTTCATTACCCACATGGGTTCTGTGGGGATCCCATTCTCCTTTCCCCATTTAAGGCTCTAGCTCTGTGTTGCCCTCCTCATGAGTCCTCATTCTTGTAATTGGGAGTGGGCATAAACCCCAGTGCCTTCTCCCCCCAGTCTATTATTTCTCTGGGCCATTCCCAGGGCATCTAACTCTTAAATGTTCAGATCCTCTTAAATGCTGGGAAGTGCTATCCAGACAGATATATATTTACGTTGCTATCAATATAGATGCAGGTCAGGACAGCGTTACACTGAAGTTGAGAATGGATGCTGTTAACCACAGGTCTGAGCTATAGGAATTTGCAACAGTGCTGGCACTATATGGATGCCAGTGGTCTCACCTCCCCCAGGGCCTAAAGGGTCTGACTACGTGCATGCAGAACAGTCCATTCAACCTGTGGAGTGATCAGGTGTCGTGTTCCCCAAGCCAGCTGCAAGCAGAACTCAGCCATAACATGATGGCTGCCCGAGGATCCACACAGATTATGTTTTATGCTTAGGTTTTGCAGACAGCCAAGCCTCCAGAGGTTGCCCCAGAGCTGCAGTCAGTATGCATGCCAGTTCCTATGCTTTAAGGCTAGTGCAGATGTGTTGATATGAGCTGCAGCCACAACTGGACACCAGTACAGCTGTACCTAGTAATGCCTTCTCATTGGGAAGGCTCTGAGTGACAGGAAAACAACAGATGTCCACGTCACTTAATTTGCCCCAGATTTACTACTTGGATTTTTACTGCAATCTGAAGTTGACTTCTGATCCTGCACTTGCAGCGAAATCCAGGCAGACCATCCTGTGTTCAAGCTAACTAACTTCATGATGATGCCTACGTATCAGTAAAGTGAAATTTTGACTGTATGGACTTCCAGGCACAGAAAGGAGGGCAAAAGGCAGAGGCTACTTCTAAAAAAGTGGAAACAGTCAGTCCAGGGCAGGACTGACAGTTGTCGAGATCCCTGGTCTCTTGCTCTGTCTGCCTGAGCCTGATCAGAATGAGTTACTGCTTTTCTGCTATTCAGAGCTGCATTTGTCAGAATCTACATGCTCCCTTCTGCTGAATGGGCCTGTAATTGTTAGCATTGCCTCACTTGAGCAGTTACTCATTCAAGCTTTACCATGTCCCAGTACATCATCTGTAGGTAAAAGTGCTTTTCCAGGCACTGGCTTTCTGTCATGAGATCCTGGCTCCAGTCCTAGCGAGATCCACTCTTCTGGAGTTCGACAGTCATACTCGTCATTGTCAAATATCTAAAAAGCCAGGACATGAGTGAAATGAAGTCTTACTTCAGAGAAAAGAAAACACCTGACACAAAATTTCATGGGAGGAAAATTAACATGCAGTTCCTAAATGGGCTACAAAAAGAGAAAACAGTCCAGTTGCAAAAGCTGTGCTGATCTTTGATCAACAATCTTCTCCCAAACAGCAATATGTGTACCTCTAGCCCTTTCCTAGGGAGCAGAGACACCACCTGGAGAGCTCTCACGCAGTAATACTTCTGACCACTGCATCCAGAAAGAAACATGAGACAACACCTTTTCTTTGGACACACAAACAACAGTGAGGAGCACCCTCAAGGACTATTAGTTCTGATGGAAGTTGTGCGCACCCTGCAGAAGATGCTCAGCATCTTGTAGAGATCCTTCAGGGCCCAAACCTGCTCTAAAGCATTTCCTTGTTTTATCATTTGTTGTATCAATGATGGCTAAGTGTCCTGCAATTCTCAGAAACATCCTGTGGTATAAGCAATGAGATAGATGACAAGTGCCAAACACGCTCTCTTACCTTCAGTGGGAGGTAGATGGGAAAGACAGGATCTTTCTTCTCCTCAATAGTTGGCATATTGTCAGGATCATGGTGCCTTGGCATCAGCTGATTGGAGTCTATCCCCTTGCTGGCTAAGAGCTGAGCAATATCGAAGGTGAGATATAGCCGTCTTCTCCTGTTTTGAATCAGAGGGGGAAATAAGCGCTTAATATGCCCAGAAGGGCTCCCATGCCTGTAACTCCACTTTTTGATTGTGCACCCCTATCAGTCAAAAAGTTTTTGAGCACACACCACATACATGCATATTTCTTCATCTATAGAACAGAATAGTTCAGTTGGAAGGGATCTACAGTGAGCTTCTAGTCCAGTTTACAAATTATATATATGTACTACTGTACTAATATATTATGTACATTATAGAGCATATGCAAAAATAGAAATTAAAAAAGGATGAGAAAAAGATGAAATAAACACTATTTAAAAAAAATATTTTCTTCCCGCATCCCAGTGAATTGTCTTGTGCACTCCCTGCGATGCGCACCCCCCACTTCGGAGACCACTGCCTTACCGGAGAATATTTTCCTAAAGATTTTTGACATGTCATGTCTTGAAAGCAAAAATCAAGACCCTAATCTGCTGTGCCCATTCCATATGATGTCTCTAGCCACTTTCTGGTTACTTACCTCTCTACCTCAATCTTCCGAGGGCATTGCCCTGGAAGCCCTTGGAAGGCAATCTGTACTTTGGGCTTAAACGATTGTACTGGGAAATCTGAATTGATGAGGTTCTCAGTGGTTGGTCCAATCACTTGCTTATCCAGGATACTTCCAAAGTCCTCAGGCATCTTGAAGGTTGTGACTAAGAGACAAAGAGAAGCACAGTCTGAAACACCAGACATCACTCTGCTTTGCATTCACATGCAGAAGAGGACTGTGCTGTCTCCTGGGTTGTCTGCAGAAGTTACTTCACTAGATTTGTGAGAGAAATCAAGCAGACATAAAATGGGAAACAGAAAAGAAGACCCTTTCTCTTGCTGCAATATGTCATTATGGTTTTCCAGTATCAAAATGATGGCATAGAAGAAGGCTCCACTGTCATGCACCTTATCAGGAGGTAGGGCACTGACCTAGCCCTAAGGAGCTCTGTTCTGTTCCCAGCTTTTCTACAGACTCTCTACATGATTGTGGGCAAGTTACTGTCTCTAGTGCACGGCTTCCCTCACTCTCAGAAAGGGATGGGACTCCCCTGCCTCCCTGGGGTGCCCTGAGACCAAGAGCCAGTCTTAGCCGGGACGAACTCAGTTAAGATGGTGATAAAGGGCTTATGAATATTGCAGGAGAGAACAAGCTACTTGGGTCATCTTTGTGTGCCGAAGTCCCTATTCACACCTTGCTTTGGACAAACCTCTCCTCAGTTCTTGCTCAAGCAAACCTCCCACTCACATCAGCAGTGGTGTGAGAAAAAATTGAGTTAAACAGCTAACAATCTCATGATTTGGCCAAATGTTTTCAATGGAAATTTGGACTAAGTGAAAAGTATACATTTCCAAGAACTGGCTGAAATTAAACCATGTCATTTACCCCATAAAAAACCTGAACTGTTTATATTGCTGAACAAGCTGCAAATAATAGAACAGCAGCAAACTGGGAATTTGAAGCTTAACCTAAATTAAGTAATTGCATGCAAGCTTTAAAAAGCACTATTCCCTAGACAGAGCTAAGCATTGAGCTAAAAATAGATTTTAGTGGAGTGAGAGCTTTTCTTTTGATGAACTTTCACACTTGACCAAGGAGAAACTTAGGGTTCTGGCTTGTAAGTGGGTATTTTGGATGTGAAACATTGGACCCAATCCTTCACTCTGGTCCGTGTGCTTCTGCTTGCATCACAGATGAGATCCCTTGATTTCAAAGCAATTGTGCAGAGCAGCCAATAATGCTGAAGCCAGATACATTTCAAGATGGTCAGGTACAGGAAGGGTCCTCTAAGAGGTCATTCCATTGCCCTTCTTAAATGGCCCCTGACACAACCCCCACAGCTATACATTGTCTGCTTAGGGACTAAAGGAAATAGCCACTGAACTGGCTCCTCTCTCTCTACTCCCCTCTCTTAGGAAGGGCTCCTAGCCTGGAATATATATGATCCTAAACATTTCCATTGTCCATACCAACATGTATGCTTACAATAATTTCAAGGAATCCCTAAAATGCAGAGGGTTTACTACAGCTCATTTAGCCTCATGCAAACCTCTTGCTTGGGGTCTTTACAGAATGGTCCTGATTTATATTTGTTGTCAGGGAGCACAGCTGTTCCAATTTTGTCACTTCATTGTTGCAAAATCCATGGCACCATCCATTATGGCACTTTGTGCACTATCAACTATTTATGTCAATACTTAGGGTTTCATTTGCATTTACATTTCCAGCTTGATAGCTTCTTCCCCCTTGAAGAAGCAGCAGATCATAAATAGAGATCTGTCTCCACTTGTTAGGGATGAGTCTAGCTTGTCAAGATTCACTTGAGGATGCAGTCATTTGTCCTCACTCATGAAAATAAATGTCACTTCTAAGCACAGGAAGGTGGTATATATAGTTACCATCTTTCTCTAAGACTAAAATCCTCTCGCATGCACACTTTCTCCCCACTCGCTGCCAGCCTATGATCTGTATCTCTAAGAGTGCTCTAGGGGCCAGAAGAGTGCTGGCAAACCTTTCAGCCATGCTCTGTTCCTGTATTTGAGCACCCATGATACAACAAGCATCTTGTAAGCAGGTGGGACCAGCAGCTCTGTATACACAAAGACCCCTTGCCTCTAGGAAGAACAAGCTGCTCTGGGGCACGGCTGGATGCAGAATGAATAAATGAGAGAGGACCATGATTTCGGCTACGTGTACCTAGATCCTGAATACAGCTCTCATGGGCAGGTCCCATTTTCACAGGAAAAGGGCATTGCTGGCTCCATATGCAATGATAACACATTCAGTGCTCTCCTGGCATATGGCCTGTGGGACCAAACTTCCACAGGCAGCAATGCAGTGTACCCTGAACCCTGGGGGGATATATCCAAGAGAAAAGGGAGCATGCTTTTACCACCCAGTCAGATCACTTTACTCCACCTCTCAATGAAATTCACTTTTCACAGGACATTCAAGCAGCTCAGCACCATTCCCGGCACTGAGAGGAAATGAACGCAATGAAAGCAGAGCACGAACCTAGAGTCATCAGCCTAGTTCCCAGCATGCTCACTATAAGCAACCATAAGAGTTATGGCCCCATTTCCTGCCACGTCACGTTTCCCCTCAGTATATTTACCTTTAGGGGTGTGCTGCTCCAGGTCTGCCTGTCTTAGCAAAGCGTGGTACATATGGGGGCCAGCACAAACATCCTGAAATGCAGCATGTGAGAAAAGTGTCAGAGATAAAGCACAGTTGTAGCACAGTGGCAGGGTGGGTTATAGAGGTCCAGAGAGAAAGTGAGACCATAAGACTGACTTTACCAGAGCTTTAGGGACAATCAAGACTGTGAGTAATGGTCAGAAAAGGCTCAAAGAGGCACAAATACCTGGAAACTTGAGCCCAATGCACAGAGAGGCAGGAGATTTGTCATAGAATCATAGAATTGTTTAGGTTGGAAAAGACCT